CTAGACGCCGAGCAGCCGCACATTTGCTTTCTATTAAAAAAGGACATATATGCCGAGAGCTCGCGCCCTGCGCGCTCCCAGCACACATGTCCAGTACTCACGGAAAGGTCACGGCGGTCACATAACCCTAAACCCCGCCCCGCCTCCTGAAACTCTTAAAGGGCCGGGAGGCGCCGGCTTGAAGGGGTTAAGTATAGGAAGGAGTTAGATTATTTAGTCAAATGGGGGGTGAAGAAGGAAGTCCTTAATGATAAGGAATGTAGATAATTGGCTGCCGATATCTGTCGCATTCCAGTCATTTATACATTACCCAAAATACACAAAAAGATAGCCAAAAACCACCAGGTCGTCCTATTGATAATGGGATTCAGTCAGTAGGAGCTAGGCTAGGTCAATATATTGACCATTTTTTACAGCCACTGGTACAGAAGACTAGATCATGTCTTAGACATACAAAACACCTTATACAGTTACTTGACCACAAATCCGCATCAAAAAGATACCATCATTGGGCATCAAAAAAGCTGCAAGCTGGGCTATGAGTCGTCCTATTTGTTGATAATGGGATTCAGTCAGGATTATCGGCAGATAAAAGGAACTGCTAGCACGGTTTGCTCCCAGTTTGGCAAATTTATTCATGTCCCTGTGGGAACAGGAAGCCATTTATAGTAATCCTAATTAAAGCTTTTTAAGCGCTATATTGACGATGTGATCATTGTCTGGGAGGGAGAGAAAGCTGAATTATATTTTGATGGTCTTAATATGAATAATAAGAACATTTGTTTTTCCTGGGAAGTGGATGATCTCAAAATCAACATCCTGGATTTGGAGATCTTGTTGAAAGGTGGCGGCTTAACTACCAAAACCTTTTTTAAAATAGTAGACAGAAATGGATACATTCCGTTTGACAGCTGCCAACACCTACAGTGGCTACTGAATATCCCAAAAGGTCAACTTATTCATCTACGACGAAGTTGCACCTATGAAGATGATTTCCTTAATCAAGCTAAAATGATAGGAGAGCGCTTTATCAATAAAGGCCATCAGTTTAGTCCTAGTGAAGAAACAATACAAGAAGTGGGTAAACTTGACCGAAGATGTTTGTTTGATTGGAGATAAGAAGAAAGAGGATGTTCCATGTGACCAAATACCTATTATCTTGGATTATATTGTACACCATAAGAAAATAGAAGGGATTTAAAAAAAAAAAAAATTTGCCGTTACTTCGGTTAGATAGACAACTGAAGGAGATATTACCAGTCTACCCCAAGTTTGTATATAGACGAGCTCCTACTTTAAGGGATAAATTGGGGAAAAATTTAGTGGATCCCCCAAAGAAAACAAAACAGGTTACATTCTTAGAAATGTTTTTTTTTCTGTGCAAACGGTGTTATGCCTGTGTAGCGACCAAAGGCCAGAATTCCAAATGGAGTACCTTTGCGTCACATACTAATGGGTCAGAATTTCAAATTAATGACTTTATTACATGTAGATCGGAGGGAGTGGTCTATGCCCTTCAATGTTCCTGTGGCTTACACTATATTGGGAGAACAAAAAGACCTCTGTGGAAAAGGCTTAGGGAGCATGTTCAAAATATTAAAAAAGGGTATTCCAAACATAGTATATCTAGACATTTTGCCATTCATCATGACCGAGATCCCTCTTCCTTGTGGTTTTGGGGGACTGAGAAGTTCCAACCGCACTGGAGAGGGAGCAAAGATTTGTGCCCTTAGTCAGAGCGAATCACGGTGGATCTTTACCATGCAAACTCTGGCCCCGTTAGGACATAATATCGTATTTGACATTAATTACTTCATTAGTGACTATTAATATTGGGCTTCTTTTTGATTTTTTGATTTAGTGGTTTTATTTTATTTTTTTTATTTTTAGTGGTCCCCTCATTTTTATTTTTAATTTTATTTTCATTGGGTCTTTTACCTTTTTTCCGTTTGTTTTTTTTTTGGGTGTCTGTATTGGGGTCTGTTTATTTATATTTATTTATTTTATTCAGTAATTTTTTTGTGTATCTGATTAGCTTTTTTTCTCCCCAATTTATTTCTTCTCTGATGGAATTCCTTTTTGGGGTAGTCTATTTAGTTTATATAGCTTTTTAGTCTGTGGTTGCAGAGTGTCTGTCTATGTAAGGCTGCTCTGGTATATTCTATGGATGCTTCCTCTTTATATTATTTTATTTTATTCTGTCTTTGGTCCTTTTTACTTGATCTATGCATTACTGATCAATGCTTATTGCTCTTATTCTTATTTTTAGTTTTTGTCTGTGGAGTTGCGATTTGTTATGTGATTATTGAAGTCCTCTTTCTTGGACTTCAATAAAATGTCCGCTGTGCTCCGTCTCCCAAATTGGTTTCAGCTGTGGGCTCTCTATATGTGGTGCTTTCCAATCACCACCTTCCAAGCCCTGAGAAAGTCACGTGATTCATGACGTAATGTGTAGGACTGAAGCGTGGTGATGTCAGTTCATTGACAGTATAGACGACAGCCGCCATCTTGGTACACCTGATTGCAATACACCCATCTCTGTTATTACTGGTTTACATGCTTGTATGGGTCTGTGGATCCTGTTCCTAATTTGAGTAGTTACTCTGCCTTTTATCCAATAAAATGTGTTTTACCTACTACACAATGGGAAGTTCCTTGGTTTAATTTTCTATGTGTGGTCCATCCGAGAGGAGAGGTTTTGGCTATACACCAGAGGGGACATCTGAGCTACTACTGTTGGTGCATTTGTGAGCGTTAAATTTCTCCATTAACCACTTCAAGTCCGGACACTTTTACCCCCTTCCTGTCCAGGCCAATTTTCAGCGCTGCCACACTTTGAATGACAATTGCGCGGTCATGCAACACTGTACCCACATTAATTTTTTAGCATTTTTTGAGACAGATAAAACTTTATTTTGGTGGTATTTATTCACCATTGGGATTTTTATTTTTTTGCTATTTAAATGAAAAAGGTCCAAAAAGTTTTTAAAAAAGTGTTTTTCTTATAACATTTTGCAAATAAATAATCTTTCTTCATAAATCTTGGCCAAAATGTATTCAGCTATCTTTTTTGTAAAAAAAAAAAATAACCCAAATAGTTTATAACCAAAAATTATAAAAAAATTTCAAAATGTTTTATTTTAATATTATTTATGTTTTTTTAACATACTGTCACCCTAGCAGTACAGTGTCACCATAGTGACACTGTACTACTTGTGTGGGGTGATGAAGATTTTTTTTTTTTTACACTGATTGCTTTTACACCCATAAAGGCTGTAAAAGCAATCATTTCTGCTCCTCTGGCTGCATTCTTGCAGCCGTTGAGAAATACTGTGAGAGCTGTGATTGGTCACAGCTTGTTACATGGTACAAGGCTGTTGTGAATAGCCTTGTACCATGTGATCATTCAAAGATTTCACAAGTAGTAAGATGTCAGAAGTGACATCTTGTTTACTACTGTTCATGTGATCACTGATTAGCCAATCATGATCATGATCACACAGAGGTCCCGTACAGCGATTGGAGGACACAGCGGGCACCGGATCGCAGTGCTGCACGCTCCCAGGGAGCATGCACAGGCTCCTGCATTGATCCCTTCCGGCCATTTATGTATATGGGCCGGATGGGAAGTAGTTAAAGAGGATTGTCCTGACAGTTACCGAGGGGAGATACAGGAATATTATTATTATTATTATAATACAGTATTTATAAAGCACCAACAGTTTGCTCAGCGCTGTACATTATCACTGCTGAGTTTACATAAAGCCTATTAGACCCCTTGTGGGTCACGGCCGGAGGTGAGCGCGCATGCTAGCTGGTGGAGGATTGTTTTGCAGTGGTCACTGGTTGTTTTGCTGAAGATACACAGATTTTTTTGGGACTGTTCACTTTATTGCTGCTTTTTTACAATATATATCAATTTATGTGATTTATTTTTTAGTTACACTGACTTTTTGGGACTGTTCACACGATTGCTGCATTTTCCCATTTTTATATCTGTTCACTGCATATTTACGTGATTTATGAACAATTATTTGTTCACTTTCATTATCGGTCACTATACTTTGGTCATTATTACTTTATCATGTGCATTTATTGATTTTTAGCTTTATTATTATCACTTTTATTTTCATCGTTTGTGGGTTGGTTCATTTTGCATTTATGGAGTAGTGTAGCATCAGTTAGTCATAAATTTTTAGCAGGGGTTCCCCGAGACCAAAAAGTTTACAGGTTCCTCTGTGTTGAGAAGGTGGAGAAAGATTGCTCTACATACTAATTGTGCTTACTGTTCTACAGCTATTATACTGCCAAACGCTGCCATCTAGTGCTTTACAGATTTATTGCAGCATCTTTTTATCTGCATTACCCACTCTCAGTAAAGAAGTCTCACTTTACAGCTCTGAATCACTATGTTTATATTTTCTAGATAATTTGAACCTATACGATCAGTTTTTAATTTAGGCTGGCCATACATTATATACTTTTCCTGTACAATTTATTAAAACTATATAATATGAGGTCATACCCAAACACTTTTAATTTGTATGCAATCAGGCAGGCCCTTGCATTACATAGTTAAAGGTAAATCTAAAGGAAATTGAACAAGAACATTGTATAATGTATGGCCAGCTTTAATAGTTTCCATTTTAATTAGTTTGTAAAGTGACAAAGATATGTCAGAATAGAGGAGCTGCAGCTCCAAGGCTATGTTCAAATATACACCCAAAGCAGCTGCTTGACAGGTGTTATCAGTGTCTGCCAATCACCTCCAGCTGTCAGTGATGAAGTCATGACGATCATAAATTGGGATCATAAATTGGAGCCTGAGCTACTAGCCAGGCCTTAGAGTTACTCGCCACCAACAAACAACACACACACACCTGTAACAGAGACATGTACATACACATACAGACACATGTACATACACACACACACAGAAACATGTACACACACGCACAGAGGCACATGTACACACACACGCGTATACACACACAGGCACGTATACACACAGATACATGTACATACACAGAAATACACACACACAGACACATGTACATACACGCAGACACATGTACATACACACACAGACACATGTACATACATGCAGACACATGTACATACACACACACAGACACATGTACGCACACACACACATACACACAGACACATGTACAGATACACACATACACATGTACAATTGTACATGCATACACAGACACACACAAACATGTACACACACACACACAAAGTTGCTGTACTTCGTTGTTCACTCACAGATCCGGATACTGCACTCTAGGGGGAGGCAGAGAGCACAGCACACACTCCTTGCTTTGCTTTCACTTCGCTCAGCTATTGAGCAGTCTGACGGCTCCCAGTGCCAATGACAGATCCGGCCTGAGCGCCGAGCCTGCTCAGCAAGACGGCCCTGGGGGACACACTCGCCCCCACCATAATATCCACTCGCCATTGGCGAGCAGGCAAGTGGACATTTCAAGCCCTGCTGTATAGCATTCAGGCTGCAGCAGACACAAAAGTCAATAGTTTTAGATTGATAGTAGCTGAAGAGTGATAGCAGCACAGCCTAGAAACAACAGAATGCCAGCTGGCACACCATAGGTGCTGGCTGATCTTTGCATTCAGTGTTGTTGTAAACCTACCCAAGATTATGTCTCCTGACATTTGTATAATAATTTTGGAAGTACTCTGATTCCTCCCTCCTCTCCCTTGTCCTCTTAATAATTTAGGATCTTCCTTTACCAGTTTTCTGGCTAAGGCATGCACTGGACCTGAATCAATTTCTCTTGCATTGAAGGGCAGAAATCCTGTACTACCATACTTACTGAGTGGTTAAAAACAACACATACATTTTTCTGTACAGGCACATTCATATAACATTACAGTTCAAGCCCAATCTTCTTGCTTTATTTGAAAAATAAAAAGGGCTTACAAAACTATTTCTGTTTTGGTTCTATGGCTCTATTATTTGAGCCATTTCCTTCCACGTTTCTTTAGAGTCGTATCTTTAGCTATCTCACTTCAAACTTGTACAGTCTATTGAGATCAGTTAAGTTATTCTATCCATCGCCTAAACATCAACATGAATAGATGGCAAACACATCTCAAATGTTCATGTACACTAGCCCCAAGTCCACACCAGATGACTACATCCATTTCACTGGGCCACTAAGTTCTGTGGGCTTCCAATACAAGTTTATGTTTCAGAAACTGTAAATAAAACAGGTGACATGATTTGCATGATTAGTTAGTACATGGATGGAAAACATTGAGAGTAGAAGATCTTTGTGATTCCAAGGATTATTTTTATCATTTTAGTTTTGGGTTTGTTTGTGCTACATGTTATATACATATATCTGTTGTGCAGATTATCTAGGCATAGTGTCAGCAGATAATATATGCATAGATTCATCCGATATTTCACTTCTAATTTTATTCCTGACTTATGTGATGCCGCTTTTACAGACAAAGAGAAAAAAAGAAAATCTTAAAATATTGAAAGACATAAAAAATCACCCACAGCCAATAGCCTACAGAATAGCTACTTTTTTTTTAACAAATGAATCAGTGTTCAACAATAAAATCACTGACTGAAAACAAGACTTTCAGTAGTCTCTAATGACTGGAAACGCCTATAAGGCACCTGACAGCTAGTGACCATATAATCTTTGCAGTAAGCAAGACAATAAAGCTCTGAGCAGCATTCTAATTCATGAAAAGATCATTTTACTCAAACATATGTTTTTGAACACTAACGGGTACTGTATCTTCATTGATGGGCATAATTATAATTATCGGTCCACTTTAAGCAGAGTTTTAAACATGGGTTTACGTTTCTGATGGTGAAAAACAAGAAACAGAGAATATAAGAAAATTCTGAGCATCCAATAAACACCATCTCACTAGGAGCATCACTTCATGTCCTCATCATCTTAACCAGAGACAGCATGTTGCCATGCAACCCTCTGCAGATGCACGTCAAGCAAAAGAAACCACAGCCATGTGTGCCAAAGCCTACTGCTACCTTGTTAAAATAAAGAACAAGGTCTCCTAAAATGTAACCAAGATAAACACTTTTATATCAGCAAACACAAACAACCCCTGAAACTGACCACTACAAGCAAAACTCTACATGATCTGTTTTTTTTTGCATTAAAAAACAAAAGAAGGTATAGCTGGCAACACTATAAAAAATCCACAGTGACCACATGTAAGTGGCCAAAATGACCAGGCCCAGCTTGTTGTCACGGATTGTAGTCAATCAATGACAACAGCAAAACACAACATCCTCAACAGAACCCACATTCAGCATGCATTCACAAAAAACTGAACTCAAGGAATAAACTTTTTTCCTTTTTTATTTCCTTAAAAAACAAAAAACACACAAAAAAAATAAACTTGCATTGGTCCAGCTTGGTTACACCAAAGCCTCTGGTGATGCAGAAATTCCCTGTAGTAGTCTGTGCTACATACAGTAAACACTGGTCTCCTTTAGGTGCACTGATGGGGAGGGATGAAGAAGAGGGGGACGTCCCTCACTTGGCATCTCCACCATTTAGAGAACGTATGGTAGTTTTCTCAGTGAATATAAGGAATTATCTTATTAGATGAGGGCAGACAACACCTCGTATTCACAGATGAGGGAGGATAACACCATGCCTGCCTTGTTCAATCAGCGAACACCTCGTATTCACAGATGAGGGCGGATAACGTCACGCCTGCCTTGTCCAATCAGCGAACACCTCATATTCACAGATGAGGGCGGATAACATCATGCCTGCCTTGTCCAATCAGCGAACACCTCGTATTCACAAAAAATAAAGAGCAATACAAAGTAATGTGCAGGAGCTGACAGGAGTGAGATCTGTATTGTTTAAATACCAGTCTCTCCCCAGTCAGTAACACTCGATGTCTGCCTGCAGGGAATCACCGGCTGGGACCCAGTGATCGACAGCTGAGACCGCCAATGGCGGTGCGGGTAGGACGTGCATGCCCCCTACCCGCAAATGCACAATCACTTATATATACTTATGATCTGTTTTTTGTATGCAAAAAAAAAAGGAAGGTAAAGCTGGCAACACTATCAAAAATCCACAGTGATCACATGTAAGTGGCCAAAATGACCAGACCCAGCTTACCTCTGTGCTCCACTAATGTGATCAATCAATGACAACAGCAAAATGCAACATCCTCAACAGAACCCACATTCAGCATGCATTCACAAAAAACTGAACTCAAGGAATAAACTTTTTTCCTTTTTTATTTCCTTAAAAAACAACACACAAAAAAAATAAACTTGCATTGGTCCAGCTTGGTTACACCAAAGCCTCTGGTGATGCAGAAATTCCCTGTAGTAGTCTGTGCTACATACAGTAAACACTGGTCTCCTTTAGGTGCACTGAGGGGGAGGGACGAAGAAGTGGGGGACGTCCCTCGCTTGGCATCTCCACTATTTAGAGAACATATTATAGTTTTCTCAGTAAATATAAGGAATTATCATATTAGATGAGGGCAGATAACACCTCATATTCACAGATGAGGGAGGATAACATCATGCCTGCCTTGTCCAATCAGCGAAAACCTTGTATTCACAGAAAAATAAATACATAGCAATACAAAGTAATGTGCAGGAGCCGACAGGGGAGACATTTGTATTGTTTACATACAGGGCTCTCCCTCATCATTAACACTCAGCGACCGCCAGATACTGGCAGGGAATCAATGGCTGGGATCCAGTGATCGACAGCAGAAATGCAAAATCACATATATATACCCATGCCCTGCCACCCTGTAACAGTATTTCTGCTATAGGGCGGCGGGAAAGCAGATAAACAAAAACTTTGTGTATAGTTTGTAAATATATACTGTATATACATGGGGGCAGCTATTTTTGCATTAGAAAACATAAGACAAGAAGAAAGAGAGGTACAGTTTTTTTTTTTTTTGCAAATGTATACTGTTGCTGCATATTCGGATATGCTGATAAATTATTTATGCAGACCTGTTACCTTATGGTTCACTTTAAGAAAAACGGCAGTTACAAACCTAGTATTTCTTCCCTCTGCTGACCGAACTACTAGTTGCCTTTGTCCATACAATATACAGTAGCAGAGCAAGTATATGAAACGGTGAAAATCACATCAAAGATTACTTTAAGGTTAACACTGCTATAAGAGAAAACCATGAGGTTGATTTACTAAAATTGACTGAAGAATGCAAAATCTAGTGCAGCTCTGCATAGAAACCAACCAGCTTACAGTTCTTTGTTACAAACACATCAATACAGATTCCATTGAGGTAAAGTGTAAAATATTTTTTCTAAAAGGCTACAAAAAAGCCCAAAACAAAACAAAAAAAAAAACACTTGCCTAATGGGAAAGAAAAGGATTTAGACAACACTTTTGGTTTTTTGTTTGTTTTTTTTCTTTAACAGGAAAGTAATAGTTTATTTGAAACATAATTACTAGGGTTTAGTCATTTTATGGAGGCATGTCAGGAGAGATTAGCCTTCATGGCACAAAAAACAAACAAACAGTCGTCATGCTTACCATGGGGTTGGAGTCTGCTATGAGATCACGCAGGGAATCCAGGAAGCCCTGATCCTCCACCATTTGTGCATTGATGTCATGAAGTTTGGCAACACACACTGCTGCTGTTTTACGCACATAGGGGTCTTCATCTTTCAGGCACTTACGCAAAGGCTCACAGAGATACTCTGTGATCTTATCCACGCGGATGCAACCCATTGTACGCACAGCCAATGCCCGGATAAGGGGATTGGGATCCTCACAGTCCTGAAAAAAACATGTCATGTACCATCTTAGACATCAATCATAACAGAAAATGAGTTTCAGAGATAGTATTTACTGACTGTTTTATTGTATTAGAAATGTGAGCTTTTCAAACATGTTGGGTTTCTGTATGATGCTAGGTCTATAAAATTCAGAAAGTGCTAAAGATAAAAGGTCAGATGAGCAGTAAAGGAGATAGCATTTTAACCAAGCTAAAATGGCATTGCATACAAAATAACTAGGCATCCTTAGATCAAACAGTCCAACAGCACAAGAAAGGGAGACATCTACTCAGAAATCAACAAAATGTCATCACAGTATCAGCACAACACATGTTGTCATCATACCATCAAGACACTTTTTAAAACAAAGTGATTAAAACCAGATATTCCCCCACTAACAGGAAGGATATGTGCAGTCTGTAATACACACAGCATACTTGCATAAACGGATCTTAATGCATCCTCCCCTTTCCCCCCATGAAGACAAGACCTAAATCTGCAATGTCTCTGGAGCAGGGGTGGAGTGACAACTCATGGGGCCCTCGGGCAATAGGGGATCATGGGGCCCCTGTGTCCTTGCCCAAACTCAAAAAAGCCTATGAAAAAGGTACCGGGGCATCTCATGGGCCCCCTACTGACCCCAGGCCCTCGGGCAGTGCCCGAGTTTCCAAATGGTCAGTCCGCCCCTGCTCTGGAGTAAGGAA